CGAGAAACTATAACTGGAAAATTCCATAAGGTCTATCAAAACCCGCAACCCCCATCCGTCGTCTAAATTTTTCATCCCACTATACTTACTTTTTTTATTGTTTAGGAGTTCCTGCGAGTGTTGTGATGTGTCTTCTTTTTATCTATCAATAACTGTTGAAACAAAATGCTGGAGTGACCACTTTTTATAGAGAAAGAACTCGAGGTAGTTTCGTATGGAATTTTTCAGTTTCTCGTTGATAAGCAATAAGGTAGACATGATAAGAAAAAGAAAAGGAGAAGAAACAAACTTTTGATGCGAATATCGTTGGTGGGTCACTAATATACTGATCGACAATGTGATATGATTCCATTTTTAGCGTAATAGCTTAGGGGAATTAACCCGATATAGTATGTAGTTCGTTAGTAATAACATAGACGATGTTATATTAATAAATATTAATAAATTAAATTTTCTCCCCATTTAATCATTAGGATATTTCTCATTGACAATCAGAAAAGGCAAAGATTCGTAAAAAAATCAAAAGATCGCCTCCGAAACTTCTCTTTAAATATTATCTAAGTAGCTTTTATTTTTAGTCTTTACAACAAATTTCATTGATAAAAAGCAGACGAATATTAAATGTTTAATGATTCACAAAAAGTGTCCGGACTTTATAACGGGTTCCGTTTCCTGATGAACATTTTAATCCCTTGGCACGATCCGCGGATATGTTCACTTTTTGATAATCAGAAAAAAAAAAAAATTTCAAATCTTTTTTTTTTTTTAAAAAAAAATGTATGTTCATAGGTGTCGTTTCGTTGAATATATGCCAGCAGCTATTAATGCTCTTGCATTTACACCAAGTACTACTAAACCATTGATCGCATGTGGCCGAGCTAATGGGGATATCGAAATATGGAACCCACTTAATTTGCACCTGGAAAAGGTACTTAGTTGCATTCTATCATGACAATTACTTGACATTAAACTAATCGTTTTTTTTTATTATAAACGATAGAGAATATTAGGTGAATTAAAAACTTCTGTGGAAGCAATTACATGGGCACATAAAATAACTTTAACGGAAGCGGATAAGATAACTTATAATACACAAGCTAAACAGGATAAAGCTTTAAAAGAGTTAACCAGTAAACCACCAAGATTATTTTCTGCAAGTGCTAACGGGTTGATAGCGGAATGGGACACGATAAAATTAAGTTGTAAGGTAAAGATATATATATATATATACATATAATGTTTGTTGAATTTTGAAAACTTTATGCATTCCCCATTTGGAATTCATTGTTTGTATTAATTTAATCCTAGAAATTCATTGATTCACATGGGGGAGCAATTTGGTGTATGGCTGTTAATCACGCGAATACATTAATTGCTGTTGGATGTGATGATGGGGGTATACGGATATTTAAGATTATCGATGATGGACTATCTTTAATTCATAATTATGACAGAAAGCAAGCAAAAGTAATGTCTTTAGCTTGGGATATGGAAGACAAACATATCGTATTTGGAACTTCAGATAGTAAGATAATAAAATGGAATGTTGAACAAGGTATTAATAATAAGGGAAAGGGACTAACAATAAATGTGACAATTTGTATTAACTTTTTTATTTTTTAAAAAAAAAAGGACGAGTAATACATAGGATGACTGTAGAAAAAAAATCACAGAAAGAAACTATTGTATGGGCAATTCAAGTGCTCAAGTAAAGATTTCATTTTAAATAATTAACAAATTATTGTATATACAAAATATAATTTTTTTTTTTTTTTGTTTTAGAGATGGCACTATAGTAAGTGGCGACTCACTCGGTCACGTATGTTTTTGGGAAGGAACATTTGGAACTATGAAACAAAAGCTTGGAGCTCATGACGCCGATGTTTTATGTCTGGCTTCGAATCTCGTAATTATCTTTAATGGCAATATCTATTTTTTTTTTATATCTAGTATTTAAAAAATTTTTTTTTTTTTTAGAATGGTACAGCGATTTATTCTTCTGGGATAGATCGAAAATGTTTTGTATATCGGATTGTGTCTCAACCAAAATCATATAGTAAAGATAATTCAGTACCAAATGAAAAACATTGGGTAAAAGTGGGGTATAGCCGTCATCATATGCATGATGTGAAAGCTCTCGCGATATGTGAAGGACGAGATGTAAATTCTTTAATTTCTGGTGGTAGGTAATTTAAGGAATCGTGATTTTTTTTTAAAAAAAAAAGAAAAATGGTGTTACTTCTCAACGTTAACAAGAATGAATTGCTTTGTATAAAGGTATTGATACAACTATGGTTGTCGCGCCAATTTTAAATTTCCCTAAAAATAAATATCATAGGCTACCTTTTGTTCCATTGAAACTTATGATCAGTATGTCCAAATCTAAACAATTAATTATGTTCTATTGTAATAATCAAATAAAAATTTGGAGGTTGGGGAAAGGTAAGAAGAATACATGTAAATTCTTTAATCTCTTTTAAGGAATCAAATTAATGTTGTTTATTTTTTTTTTTTATAGCAAAGTTACCGAGGTTGTATCAATTCGAACAAAAGGTTCCTCGTTTGGAGTTAGTAGAACCTCAACAAGCTATTTTAGAAATAACATTAAAGGTCTTTTATTTATCACGTGCTATCGTTTAATGAACTGTTTGATTAATAAGGTATTAATCTCACTTTTAGAGCAATCATCAATTGATGATCGGATCGATATCTGAAAACGGGGAATGGATAGCAGTATCTGACATTGAACGTATCAAGTTATTCAAAGTTCTTGAAGACGCAAGTATAATATTATAATAAGAAATGAGTTTTTTTTTTTTTTTTTTTTAAAAAAAAAATGACATATAAACAAATTATAAATTTACATCAGATTAATGACCCAGGTCATTTAAGGGTACGTAAAATAAAAGATTTTCCACAAATAACTATAGACGGACGAAATGTTGGAGCTAATTTATTAGGGTTCACACCAGACGGAAGTAAACTTGTGGTAGCTTTTATGAATTCAGAAATAGTAATATTTGGACTTGATATTGAAGAAGGGGATGAAGTTGATGTCACAGTTTTAGAGCGATTTGATGAATATTCACAAAATCCCGACTGTGAACCATTGACTACCTTGACTATAAGTGATGATGGTAAATGGTTAGCAACCGGTGACCTTTTGAATCGGATTAATGTGTATAATTTGGAAACTCTTGAGGTATTTGAACTTTAACATTTAAATATTTGGTTTAAAGATAGACTAATTAAATTAATAATCATAAAATTTTCGCCCAAATTTATAATAGCATCATATGACTATCGATAAATTTTCTTCTATTCACACATCATTAACATTTCATCCATTTAAACCGATACTTGTAATAACTTTAACGTCAAATCAATTTTATCTTTTTGATTTGCAAGAAAAGAAATTAACTGATTGGTCACAACAATATTCAGAAATGCTTCCACGAGATTTTCTTAACCTTAAAGATAAGATTATGGGATGTTCATTTAATCCTCCTTCTGATAGTATGATCCTATGGGGAGCTAATTATTTATGCTTGGTGGATTTTAATAAATGTAAAATAGAAGATACCGAAGAATTAATATGTATTAGATGTTCAGGATGGCAATCTAAACCGAAATTTTTAAATAAACCTATGCAAATAGAGCAATCAGATGAAAGACGACAAGAAGAAGTGGAGAAAATAGATGCGAATACGATAAATTTTCAATTAGTTACTAGATATCAAACATTAATGTATTTAAATTTTATAGAACATAATCAATTAGTCATAGTAGAAAGATCATTTACTTCTATTTTAGAGAATCTACCACCATCATTTTATAAAGCAAAATATGGTACATAAGAGCGAAAAGTATGATATTAACTAGTCTATTTTTATAATAAAATGCAAAAATCACATTTAGTAGAAATTTCGTATTAAATAAAGTTGTGTTAGGGATAATATATTTATCAGGGTGTGGTTAATAAGGTAAAGTCGGATCAGGAAAGTAATATTTACACAATGGTGGAGACCGAGGATGCGTTGATGGTTGCAATATACGTTTTATCTATCAATAAGTACAATTTAAAGAGCATGCTAAAGCTCTTTGATACATGGGGGCGCTGCTGTACAGGTTTGTGTACCCAAATCAAGTTATATTACTAGAATTTGAATGAAATGATATCATTTTACTTTTTTTTTTTAAAAAAATTGATAATCATACACATGATTGGGTATATTTCATGAATTATGTCGACGGTTTTATGTAGTGTTACATGATCCTGACCTAAATTTCGGGAAATTTTTATTAGTGAATTTTTGGGTTTAGATTTATTTGTATCCTAATTTGGGAAGTTATAATATAAAAAAAATTTCGAAGATTGAAATTTTGATTGGCTCAAAAAATATTTTGAAGTTATCAATCAATTGGTAGTACTTTTTATTGAACGAAACGATACACAACTTCCTGTGTATATTCTATCTTTTTAAGTTTAAAATTGTTAAATTAAGTAACATTATATTCTTTAAATATCAATTACAATGAGTTTGCTGCAGGTTTTTTTTTTTTTTTTTTTTGTGAGATTTGTGAAATTTGACTATTAAAAAAATAATATTTTTTTTTTTTTCTCCACCTTTTTTTATTTCCTTTTTTTTCTTCCTTTTTTCCACTTTATTTATTTATTTTCCCTTTCTTTTCTCGGTATATAAAACTTAAGTACCCGACAAAATTCTATTACCCTTTAAAAATTAAAATAGTTTATCGATGTGTAGAATTATTGTAGGAGATTCTAATTTCAAATAATCGTACTTCTTTTTACTCCCCGAACATTCCAATTCTAAATTTCATAGAAAAATAAAAAGGGGAGCGATGTCTTTTACAAGGAAACACACACCAAAATCTTCGCAGGGGAGCATTTCAAGCGAAGGTGATATATTTTTCGAAGCCACAACAGAAGTTATTAATGAAGTTGAAGAATTAACTTTCAACAATAACAACAACATCGACGAAAGTGGTGGCGACAGTAGTAACATCAGCAGTAACATCAGCAGTAACATCAACAGTAACAGAAACAGTAATATCAGCAGCAACAACAACAACAATAGGAACAGTAATAATTATTTTCATGCATTAAAAACCAAAAATAGTGAAATATGGCAATATTATAGGAATAATAATAGTAGCAGTAAAATACTTCGTCATTATCCTTCGTCATCAATAGATTCAATGATTTCGACGGTGCAAAAGTCGTCATCGATCTATATGACACCACAAAGTTCAACGAGTAATTTATTGATTAGTGCGATGAGACAAGCTGTAATTAGCCAAAGTAATAATCAAACGGAGATCGACTTGGCAACTACTTCTCCCACTAATACGCCATTTTATACTACCCCTTCTACCCCTAATAGACGCACAGTGGATTATAGTTATCGTGATGATCGTGATAATAATAATAATGATAAAAGTGATAAAAGTGATATTAATGAGGATATCGATAATAATGATAAAAACGATCATAAAAATAATAGCGATAATAATGATAATAGGAATAGTAAGAATAGAAATGATGATGATGTTGACGATAACGACAACAACAGAATTAATAATGGCATTTTGAATATTAATAAAAATAATAATTCGAATCCAAATATTGAAAGTTCATCAACCATTGTGGCGGCTAAAATAAGAGAATTTGAATCATTAATTAAAAAAATTTCTCCATCGAATTTAAATACTACAATAGATTCTGATGTTGATAAGGTAGGATCATCGTCGTCACAGAAAAAATATAACCATACCGTTGAACCTTCTTCAGGATCAAATACATATGTGGCTGATTCTTATGATCATATTGAATTAGAAAATAATACAAATCATTCGAATTATTTAAAGGAAGAAGAAGAATATCAAGAAGAATGTGAAAATAAGAGTTCAAAAAAAGATATTACAAAGTTCAGACCTTTTGATAGTAACAATAAAAAAAAAATGACAAATGAAGAATTGTCAATAAATATTGATCTCAAGCCCGAAAAAAGGGCCATAAATAATAATGTAATAAAGGGTTACGATAAATCATATCATCATAGAAATAATTCTTCTAAAGAGATTATTATTATTGAAGATGATGAAAATATTCTAAAAAATTCAAAGAGAAATTCAAAATTATCATTTATAATAACAAGTGATGGGGATGATAGCGATATTATTTCTTCAAAAAGTGAAAGTATAGATAATGTAGATTCTTTAATATCACAGAAACATATATCAATAACAAAAGATATTGTTACAGAATTTTCTTCAATTGCTTCTTTTAAAGGAAATTCTAGAGAATCTATTAAAATAGAAAGGAAAGATAAAATCATACAACTTAAAAAAAAAGATAAAATTCTTTGGTTAATTGGAAGTTGTTTAATTTTTTTTACTATCATACTTGATATTAATTTGGTTGCAAATCAATTACCTAATATTATACAAGAATTTAAAGCAGGTGAAAATATTTTATGGATAATAATTAGTTATAATTTAACAAATGTAAGTTGATTTTATTTTAAATTAATATATTAATATATATTATTAATTCTTATATTTATTTTTTTCTTTTTATAAAGACAATATTACAACCATTATGTAAACAATTATCAAATATATTTAAAAAAAAATTAATAATTTTATCATCAATTTTAATATTTGGTTTAAGTTCAATATTATGTGGTTTAGCACAAAATATTCAATGGTTTATTATAAGTAGAACATTTATGGGATTAGGAAGTAGTATAACAACATCTATGATATTTATTATTTTATCAGAAATTACATCAATTCAACAAAAAAAAATTTATAATAATATTATAAATGGAATATTTGCTTTAGCATTTGTATCTGGATCATTAATAGGTGGATTATTTGTAGATTATATTTCATGGAGATGGTCATTTTACATTAATGGTTTAATATCAATAATAAGTATAATAATATTATCAATTTCATTGAAAAAAATCTACAAATCTTCTGAAAATATTTTGATAAAATTAAAAAAGATTGATTGGTTAGGAATTTTTTTATTGATAATAGGATTATTATTAATACTTTTTGGATTAAATTATGGTGGAAATAAACTTGTTTGGAATAGTATAACAATTTTTATAATATTTGGTATTGGATTTATTATAATAATGTCATTTGGATTAATTGAAAAAAATTTTGTTAAAGAACCTTTAATACCAACATTTATGTTTAAAAATTCTTCAATTCAAGCTGTATTTGGATGTTTTTATTTTATAGGATGGATACAAATGATTGTAACTTATTATATTCCAATATATTTTCAATATGTTCATTTATTAACTGCTACACAATCTGGTATATTATTATTATCTTTAATGTTAAGTATTATAATATTTTCTATTATAAGTAGAATATTAATAATTAAAATGGGACAATATAGATCAATCATATTTCTGGGATCAATCTTATTAATAATAGGTAGTTCATTATTATCAATGTTTAATTTAACTACTGGATTATTCTTACATATTATATCATTAATAATAATTGGATGTGGTATTGGATTACAATTTATTTTATTAAAACCTACTTTATATCTTGTAAAGAAGAGTGAAAAATCTATTATTATTGGACTTTGTAATTTTTTTAAAGGTTGTGGATCAATTTTTGGTATATCAATTTCAACAGCATTATTTAATAATAATTTATTATCAGATATGAAAGATATAAAAAATTATCCCATAAAGGATAATTCAATTAATAATATCTTATTAATTTCAAATATTCAACAATTAGATGATGAACAACAAAAAATCATATTAAATAGTATTAATAATGCAATTATAACAAATTATAAACTTTGTATATTTATATCTGTAGTAAGTTTAATTTTTGCTACTTTTATAAAACATTACCAATTGAAGACAAAGAAAGGTAATGATGTAGTTATAGATGATAATAGTAGTAATAAATTATTAAATGAAAAAATATAATCTTAGATCAAATGTTTTATTATTTATTATTATTATTATTTGTATTTATTTTATTTATTTACAAAAAAAAAAAGTGGGTGTATTATTTAATAAACGAAAAAAAAAAACTAAAAATTTAAAATTGTATATTTACTTTAATGTTGCAATGATCACGTGTTTTTTATTATCTTTTTAAAAGCCAATCGGTTGAAATATATAAATATATATTTTTCAATTACGAGATTTCTTTTTACGGTCGTTTGAACGCCCTTACATAAATTATGAATTTACTACCAACTTTAAGTATCGTGCGTTTGATACGTACCTATCATTTCTTCCCACCACCCATAATGTTCAACATTATCATCCGAATTATCCGAGTCCAAATCACTTAATCTTGAAGCATTTATACCGTTATGATTTTTACTTTGCCTCACAAAATTATAAAATGCGCGCTCATAACGAAAATAGTTACCAGCCAAAATATATTCTCTGACTTTTTCAGCTAACTTACCCAATTTACCACCCATAGGTTCGTTATAACTTAAACAAGCACTTAATATTTTATAACATTGATGTTCCCACAATGAATTAACCACCTTTCTTTGTGTATAAAATAAATATTCTCTAAACCATTCTCCTCTATTTTTTAATAACTCATTAACTTTAACTTTTTGTTGATTATCAAAATATCTGCAAAAAAAAAAGAGAAGAAAAGAAAATAGGTTAATGTATTATCAATAATGAGTAAGATTTCATTTGATATACTTAACTCTAACCATACAAAACTTTCTATTGTTTTATATAAATAATTAGGATTGTCGTCTCCATATTCAATACGCTGAAACAGTAATTCACATATATTATAATATGCATCAACTAAAATCTCGCGTTCTTCCTCAATTGTATTTTCTATTTATTTATTAAAAGTGAGTTCATGGACAAATTACATAAAACAAGAAAGAATAACACCTTTTTCTACTTACTTATTACTTGCGTGTAATGTTCGATTAATGGATTAAGCACTTTTTCAGGTGGACTAACTGGGTCAATCCGATGATATGCTTGTCCTACTTCAATCCATTTCGAATCAAAGCTTTTATATGTGTGCAAGACTTCAAATAAAAGCCTTTTATATCATTATCATTAATGATGAGATTTAAATTATTTTTTTTAAAAAAAAAAAAAATTGTAAGCTTTCGAATGTTAACTTTTTGATGTACCTGTGTCCTGTCAAGACTGATGGATTGTTATCGCAGAAATTTTGTATGACTGTAATAGCTTCTTCGATTTCTTCATTATGCAAAAGTAACTAATTAATAAAAGGTACGTTAATTATAATTACTATAATTAAGTACTTCACTCATGTAAAAGCACGTTACCTTAACAGAATACATTAAAAACATATCATTCGACATATCCAGATCCAGAGATCTCTTAAAATTGCTTAAACTCATTTCATAATAACGTTTTCGTCGATCCATAAATTGTTCATCTAATACAAAATTCAAATTAAAAAAAATATATATATAATATATGTATTTTGTTCCCAGTCGAATTTTCAATCATTACTTACCAATCTCAGGAATTTCTATTTCTTCTTTATAATCATTTCTATTTCGTTTTAATTTTTCTCGTGGTGGTATATGCTTTTTTGAAGAATTTTTACGCTTTGGTGGCTTATAGATTTCAGGCTTAGGTTCATTTTCTTTAATCATAGTATTCAATTGTTCCCATAATGAATATGCAAGTAATCCTGTATACCCATGCAGAACTGGATTATTACAATATGGTTCCATTGGTAAATACCTATATTAAAATTTTTGATTGAAAATATTAAAAAAGGTATTATGAAGGGGACCCTATTAAGAGAAGTTGTCAAAGTTGAATACGTTTCGGCAGTAGCGAGAGCATCAGTGGCGTTTCCATATTTCATTTGATAAAAAACTAATTCCATTATAATTCTTTGTTTATCCAATATGAATTTTGCACTCTAGCAAAAAGTTATTAAAAAGATTTTAAGTTTGCAACGAATTGAATAACAATAGATCAAGTTTAAAATTGATAATTAACTTACCAAAGCATGATTTTTTAATAATAATATATTAAAGAATTCAATAAAAGTTGTTGATGTAGGATCTAAAGTGAATAACACCTTAATGGCCGGCTTTTATTAAAGAGTATATACATACATATAATATTATTATTTTAAAAATTCAGAATTTTTTTTTTTTTAAAAAAAAAAAAGAAGGCTAATAAAACCTGCCAAATTCTAGATAGATCACAATCGGGACATTGTAATAAAACTTCAAGAATTTCACTAGCACGACAATAATTATGTTCATAAAGAGATTTTTGTAATAATTCATATAAATTTGTTACATGAAAATTACGAAGTCCTAACACTACTCTTCCTTTCTTCCAATTTCCTTTAGTTTTTTCAAATACATAAATTTCTGCCATTTTTTTTTTTTTTTGTTTTGAAGCACCCGAGACTTATATAAGATTCTAATTGGCTGAAATTAATTTAGGCAGAATATTGAGCTCTGGCCAACTTTTCACTAATGTAAGTTGATTTTACTGGGAACGTTCCCCATATTTTATCAGACCTTTTAAGCAAAACGAAATAAACAAGACACTTCTACCAAATGGCATTTTTTCCTCATTTGATTTTATTTCGGATTTTATCTATTGTGGTCTGGAAAGAGGTTGTATAAATAAATTACCTTGGATTGTAAAGGGAAATCTTTTCATCTTTACATCAAGTAATTTTGATAATTCAATCAAATGATCTTTATAAAACGAACATATGGAATTAAAACGCGTAAAAACTTTATGTCGATGATCAAGATGAAGATTTGGTTGAACGAATTACCGGATTGTAAGACTTTAAAATAGAGAATTCGTATAGTGCTGGAAAAATAGATGCTTTACGCATAATTTAGAAAAACACATAATCGCATAATCCGCAGTAAATTTCTTAATTTTAATTGGTCATTAAGGTATGGTGATGCAAATAAATGCACATGACTTTGCATGACATAAAGTACTATAGTCAAAAATATTTTGTGATAGAAAAGATCAGTAAAAAAATAAATTACGCATTATAATTTTGGCTAAAATTAAATGAATTCGGGTAGAATTATTAATTTAAAAAGATATTTGAACGAGAAATTTTGTTTTTAATTCTTGGATTGCTTTACTTTCACCTCATCACGTTGTTCACAAAGCAAATCAACCTCATTAATAAAAAAAATAATATCAGGCTTAATCTCATAAGCAACTGTGAAAGATTTTCTTGACAGAATATTTTTCAATTGTATTGTTTATATTTCGATATTCCATGATATTAATTCTCCTTAACGTTAACGTTAACATTTTGAAATAAAATTCATGAAAACTATCACTAACGCTATATTGCTATCACTATATTGTTAGTATTTTCAGTTGTAAAACTATAATTTTAAACTATTTTCTTATCAGAACCATTACAATTAAACTCACCACAATATATATAGTCCGCAAAAGTTTTTCTACTTTATAGTAACAGACACATTCATTCTCGCCATAAAAATAATGACGATAAATTTTGAACTTTTTGAAGGAAGATCGTTTTAAGGTTTTGACTGCTACAATATTTATTGTACTATTTATTTTAAAATACAACTAAAGGGTATATTTTTTCTTAATAGTGTAGGAATAGTTCATTTGTTACATTCTTGTAAAAAATGAAACGAAGTTACGCTTTTTTTGCTTTTTTTCGAATTTTTATATGAAAAAATGTGTTTTTTACATCGGAATCTCAATTTTTGGGGACAAATCTTGTGTTCGCTATACCTTCCTCGTGCAACTTTCTAAAATTATAGCATTGGAGGAAATGCAAATACAAGTAGTTATCGAAGAGTTCTTTAAACGCAGTAATGATTGGTCGCTATTTAATTTCCTTAAGTATAGAGAAGAAGCTGGCAATTTTACATATGAAAAAGATAAAGAACATATGATATATAAGAAGGCTTTGGAGTCGCTTTCCGAAAATGACGAAGTTCGAAAATGTATTCGAAATTTTGAGGTTAAGTATCGTTCATATAGCTCATAACTGGTTGAGATGAGTGGGTTCAAGGACTAGAATACGTTCCAGTCCCGAGACAATTATGTGACGTATTGACAAACCCTGAGTAGCCAGCTGAATACGTTTTGGCGGGTGAGAGTGGAGTACGTCTTCCCTTGAGCGTCCTTGAATAGGCTATGTGCTATTGCCATAACGCAACTGGATGGGTACGTCCTAACTGGTTGTCAGGCTATGTGCTGTGTTATGGTCCACACTCTCTGTTTTTGGTTGATTATTAGTAATACGTTAGTTTCAAAAATAAGTTATTTAATTTATATTTCTATAAAGAATGAAAAGGTTTCTGAGAGTGTCCTCCATTTCTGGACAACGACTGTTCTTGGCTTGTAGATATATTATCAGTAAGTGGACATAAATCTTTTTAAGTCTTATGTCAAATATTATTAAAAAAATTTATTAACTACTAGTCAGAAAAAGATGTGTTCAAAAGCGCTATTACAGCCTTACTAAATCAAACTCCAGTCCATCCATTTCAGCAAGTCTGCAAAACAATTTTATATGACTTGTGAGTATTATCACGGTCTCTATGTCCCTTTTAGCACAACTGGCTAATTCACCCTGTTTGAATAGTTTTTCCATGACTGATAAAGACCCTTTGAATCGTTTTATCAGAGAAAGAAAGTATATTGTGGATAGGATAGTGCCTTTATTCAAGGCGATTCAATCAGTACATAGAGAATATTCATTTGACTGAATCGAAATACAAGCGAATTGCATCAGAGATATAAAAGAATTGTTTCCAGAATTAGATTTCACACTAAATAAAGTTGATGGAATTGGTTCTAAGGTTTCAAGTAATAAAGAAATCATATTTATTGAAGTGTCTGGATGATCGGAGAATGCTGTTATAAAACACGTCAAAGAGGATACTGAAAAACTCATCAAGGAGGTTATG